TACCGTACAATACAGTGTGTACTTCAAACAATGTACCTGATTGTACAGTTTAGAAGTTTACACCTAGGAGTAAATTGTTTTATTAGCTGGCTTTGATACAGGAATGGGAGCTATGAATACAGTGGGGAAACTGGATGGTTCTGTTTATGTTTTATAGAAGTACCAGATGAATAGAAAACATTTCTTTTCTAGTTACAGACATATTTTGCTACAACATTGTTTCATCATCCAGATTGGCTCTTCTCATAAGAACCACGCGGGCTTTGCTGGGACTAAACAGGTTCTGGGTCCAGTTGCTCGAATGCCGATTGGCGCTGACCCAGGGTTCAATCTTAACCCAGGTTTCTATATTTCTCTGATAAAAAGCCGCTGTGGGATAATTTTCCCAATTTACTTTAGGACATTTAATCATAAAATTGTAAGCCGATAGAATCAAACTGAAGGAATCTTTTAAAGCTTTCAGATTTGAAATCAAATTTCACACTAACCCTGGGTTATCTTAACCTACTTTTGAACAACCCGGCCCTGATCGCTGTTGACACAATTAGACACCCTGACCGGGTGTCTAATGGTGTCAACAGCGAACAGTTCTTCTCAAACGCGTCATTACCGCCAAATTCGCTCCACTGTTGTCGAATGGCGCTTTGTATCAATGGTATTGCGCATAAGAAAAATGATTTCAAATGGTAAGTGTACTTTGCTTCTCTCATGACATCATCATCTGGTCCCTCCTCCTTGTCACTATCGCGACGAGTGGCACGGCCGCTGCTGTAAGAGAGAAGACATGAGTGCTGTTTGAGATCGAACTAAATCATATTTTGATGTTCCACCTGTCTCCAGTTGTCAAATTAGATTTGGTAGTAAATCAAAGCAGTTGGTCCAGGAAATCAAAAGTGAAAGCCATTGAAAATAATGATAATAATTTCTTTTAATGATTAAGAAATCCTCCACTTTATTTAAAATCCCCAAAAATATTTACAAAAGTTTGATAAAAACCCTAAAAATCGAAAAACACATTAAAATGTCCTTCAGAAGCTAAGGAAAACACACCTCGTCTACGTTTACTTCTCGAGCTTTTCGATAATAATAAAGATGATAATAATTATGTTAATAAAAATGATTATAGTGATAACAATGATAACAGTAATTTTAAGTCTCTTGACAAAGGAAATGCAAAGTCTTCAAAAGTTCAACGCAAAAGAATGAGAATAATTTACTATAAAAATAATCTATAACTGATGAGTTTAAGGAAGTCTTGCTCGACCCTTCTCTACTTCCAGATCCTTGTCTTTGATATGTAATAATAATAATAAATAAAATAGAATAACGATTTCAAATTGAAATGGGTTTGATTTCAGTTTTTGCTCGTGCCTCCACTTCTCCCTTAAGCACAAGATCCCCTTGCTGTGTGCTGCTGCGCAGCAGTTTGAAGTTCGAAAACTTTCAAAACAATTCAAAAATGGAATCGCTACGGGGGAAGGGAGGGGGGAAGGGTTCATAAGGAAACACAGTGCCCAAAGTCAAAGAGTCATCCAAGAGGTTAAGATGGGCACAAACAAGCCAATTACCACGGATATAATTTATACCGAACGTTTAAAAAATTGCCATTTGAATAGAATCGGGTTTAAATACAACTTGGCTAAGTAACATTGTACATACTGTCTTAATGAATTTTATATCATCATTGCAAGTGGTCTATAGATCTTTACTCTCTGTAACGTTCACCATCTATTTTAACGACGAGCGAACTAAAGACACCACATTACCATTACAATGAATTGTACAAGAAGAAAGACGAGGCTGAACCCTAACCTTGTCGCTACTGTGGCTTTTGTCTCCAGGAAATAGGCGGCGGAGGAGGTAGGTCCTTAATTGGCTTCTTTGAGTCGCAGACGTACTTTCGCCCCTCGATCTCTTTGTCCGTTTGCTTCTCTGGGGCATGTGGAGATCCTCTTGCCGTCCCTCGGAGCGCACTTGGCAATATCAACTCTTGATCACGCTGCGTATTGACTTCACTCGGAGCGTACGATCTCTCGTAGTCGAGAACACGGTTATTTGCACTACTCGACAGTAATTAAGCATGCAAGGTAAAAACAGCCGTTCAGCTATCACGTATAATTCTTGTATCGCGTGCGATGACAAGAAACGAGTTCAAATATGCGGAAGGAAGCAAATGCGCTCTTAGCTGGTAAGGAAACACGGTCTCGAAACAGAAGCAAACGCTCGATTGCCACCGGAAGTCAGATTCTCCCCCGGTCCGGTTCCTCTGGATTTTTGCCGTGATATTTCTTGTGTGTCTGCTTATTTCTTTGAAACCCAGGTCTGCTCCCTTCTTTTCCTTTCAAATGAAGATTTATTTTTGGGTTTTGTTCCGTTGTGCATCTTATTTTGACTTCATTTTTGAAACTCCGAGCAAACAGGAAGCCAATATGTACGGTCTTGGACAGGAAGTAAACACTGAGATCGATAGTAAGATCGATTTCCCGGATTACATTGAAAAATGAATCTACCGACCGTATTTATCTATTTACAAATGTGTTCCTTTTAGCGTAGATGTAGATAGATATTAAGACTCAAAGCGTGTGTCTAAAAAACTGCTGCAGGACATAAACTTCCGCGCCGGAAGCACCATAAAATTACAAACAGATCTAGAAAAACAGGAAGCCAATACGTACGGTCTTAGGTTAGGGTTAGGTCAAAGGTCGAGTTTTCTCATACATTCTCTGTCAAATTTCGATGACTTTTCGACCTTACGGGATCAAGTTGAAACTTGGACACATATCTCTAGTTATATTTGGGCTAAAGAAATCATTTGTTGGTAGTATTACAAAGCTAACATACTGGTGCATGTAGGAAAAATGCATTCCGGTAGCTGCATTTAAAACTTTTTCATTGACGATTGAAGCACAATAAAAAAAAATTATCTCGGAAAAATCTGTCCATCTGGCCCCACTTGTTCGAAGGATGGATAACGCTGTACACTGGATATATCTCTATCCGGTGGATAGCGCAGTGCGTTTTGGTAACACCTATCCGCTGGATAGCGATTTATCCGTTGGATAGCGTTATCCGCCCCTTGAACAACCGGAGCCAGTCTGCAATCACATTCTCATTGGTACCAGAATTCGCATTACCTTTGTTTATTAAAAGTTTCCGCCTAGAAGCTGAGGGATATTAGTGGTCCAGTGGTAGGGCGCTGGAGGTGGCCGTAAAGGAAGAGAGGTACCATCATTGCCCTAGATCTATTTGGATAACCATCGTTGGTTCCTTTTTTCTCTTTTTTCTTTTTTCTTTTTTAAGTTCCTTACTATGAAAATAGGATGCATGATCTCAATAAAAATGCGGGAAACTACATGACTGTATAGTTGATGCTTAAAAATTCATATCTCTCGTTGGAAAGTCAAGGCTAGAGAAATGATGTCGGTACCATATAAAAGCTAAAAAGTTTTACTTGCCTGTAGAAAAAAATTCATTGAAATAGCTGCATTAAAAGGATTGGTTTTTTCTTTTAGACATCTTTAGAGTTCATGAATGGCAACGTTATTTCGTGGAAAGCGCAGAAACATGAAAATTCATATCTCGCGTTATATTGATTGAGGTTAGAGAAACTATTTTCATATCGTTACAAAGCTAAATTAGCGCCGCATTTAGATTAAGGAAAAATACATTGCAATGTTTGCGTTACATCAGTCATATCAAAAATGGGCCATGATCATCCTCCAGGCTAGAGTCGGGTCGGGGAGGGGAGGGAGGGGAGGAGGTTTGAGGCCTGGAGACAAGCCGGCCAGAGTACAAACCGTATCACGCTTCATGAAGATGATTGTTAAGTAGTGAGGTTCACTGTTCACCGTTGTTGTTGGTCTCAGCGATTTCATTTTATGGAGTCAAATATGTGACAGAATTCATCGAACAAAGTGGGTGATAGACTTGTTTATCACAATTAAATACCGCAGCGAAAATTCTACGCCACGCCCGGCGGGTATAAGCGAACAGCTGGCATATTTGTAAGCATTCTCTTTGCGATCAGCAAGAGACTAATGTTGTTTGTACTTAGTGCAATCTGTAAAAATATTTTTTTTATTTTTCTATTTACCTCCCTGTCATGGGGAGCATCGCGTATGGTCTTAGGCAATAAAGACCCAGTTACCCGCAACTGAGTTGGTGTGTATTTAATGTGTCTAATCTGTTGCTCAAACTTGGTATTCAAAATGTCGAAGTAATCAAATCGATAGTCATCTCCGTCAAACAGACTGTCAAATCCTTTAATCGAAGTTCCAAAGTAATCAAATGCAAACTCAATGTCATCAAAGGAATCGAAATTGTATGCGGACTCATCGAAAGCAGGAACCCATCGTACGAAAACCCATTTAACCCAAACCCATCGTACGAAAACACATGCCGGAAAATCCATCGTACGAAAACCCATCGTATGAAAACCCATCGGGTTCCCTGTGTTACATGTTTCCAAAATGGTGGACATCAAGTGAGAAGTTCGATTACCAGTTTGATGTTATAATGTACCTTACTTGTTTATAAGATACAATGAAATATATGAAGCTCATATATTTTGAACTACGGTATTAGATACGTATGATGCACGATCCTCGCAGTAGATAGCGCTATTTAAGCAATAGCGAAAATCAGACCTGAAAAAAAAAATCAGGCCTGTACGGGACTTGAACCACTGATCTCTGCGATACTGGTGCAGCGCTCTACCAATTGAGCTAAAAAGCCAACTGGGAGCAGGCCGTTAAGTTGATTCTTAATAAACCCGTGAAAGTGATAAATAAGATACAATGAAATATATGAAGTTCATATATTTTGAACTGCGGTATTAGATACGTATAATGCACGATCCTCGCAGTAGATAGCGCTATTTAAGCAATAGCGAAAAGCAGAGCTGAAAAAAAATCAGGCCTGTACGGGACTCGAACCACTGACCTCGTGCATCATACGTACTTACTTGTTTATGTATAATGATGTTCGAACGAGATTTTAAAATGATTTTACAAAATGACGCAGTAAGAAGCCTTTTAAAGTATATCACATTTATCAATTATTGTTACTTTATTTACAGTCATTATTTTTATTATCATTATCTGATATTTTCAATATATTTAAATAATTTTCTTTAAAGGTCTCGTTTATTTTTCTATTTATCCGTTTGTTAGTTTATTCTAGTCTTTCCGGTAGTCTTTTCGACGTGGAATATTGGGCATGTCTCTTATTAAGAATAATTACTGTAATAACATTCGAAGGTAAAATTATTCCAGGTTTCTAGGAGTTAAATTTCTAAAATTGATCTGGTTAAAGATTGGAGTATCATAGCCGGGTAGAGCAATCTACTCATAAGCACTCATCTTTCACCCAGAGATGCAGTTTTATTCCATCGCAAAAGTAGCCGACCTGGCATAACAATATAATTTGTGGATGTTTAAGATAGACACTTTCTAGGTTAATGGATATCTCATAGTTTCTTCCTTATTATTTTTAGGACGCAGACCCGGACACCAAGATTGCCGCAGAAAATGGAAAACTCTTGAAAGCAAAGCAACTGTTTGCACATTGTATCCGGTTTCTCAAAGAAGAGGCACTTGAGGGAATTCGGGAACGTACTGGAGATGAAGTTTATGGAGCGGAGGAGATTCAGTGGGTTCTGACTGTACCCGCCATATGGACTCTGAAAGCAAGGCAGTTTATGCGGGAAGCAGCGTATGAGGTATTTGATGCGATGAAATGAAATAAGCCATGTTCTAGGAAATTGGGGCACTCCGCGACACATGATGAAGTTTGATGCAAAGTGATAACAGTTAGGGTTGGATCACGGTACTGTCTATTCCCAAGAGATCCTTTCATCCATCGATCTGTTAGTGTTTTGAACCCCATGGTCTCTCCTGGTATTCTGTAAAAACTCATTTTAGCAGATATACAAGCATAGGGAGTCTAATATCAATGAAAAAAAAAGTTCTAGGTTAAACAAAAATAATAGTGATCAAATAACTTGTTCATAAAGCACACCGCTTTATTGATAAACTTAAATTTCAAGATATGATCGACTGAGAGATGTTAGACTTCTCCAAATATTCGCTGAAGCATCGCAAAAGTTAAACATATGTGACATATAATTTTGCAGGCTGGGCTTGGATCATGTAACAGTCCAGAGCAGTTGTTAATTGCCGTCGAATCTGAAGCTGCAGCATTGTACTACACGGATGCTGAAGATCTAGAGAGGCTTCGTGGTGCACATTATATTGTTGTCAACATAGGAGGTAACTGCTTTCTTAGAATATGGATTTCCATAGTTTACAATTAGCTGAATGTTCCTGGAAAGAGTATCTAAATTCACGTAAACCCGAACAAATATTCGAGCAGTTGATTTAACTGTATAGGACTTGTTTGTATATTTCTCGTAGTTCTAAGCACGAGTGCTTATGTTTCAAACGCGAAAGCAACGATGAATGTCAATAGTTTCAACAAAACATAGGAAGAGACTCCTCAGTAAGAAAATCGTACCAGATGCAGTGGCTACCCAGGGCAAAAAGAAAGAGTTGTTTTAAAATCGTACCAGCTGCAGTGGCTACCCAGGGCAAAAAGAAAGAGTTGTTTTAAAATCGTACCAGCTGCAGTGGCTACCCAGGGCAAAAAGAAAGAGTTGTTTTAAAATCGTACCAGCTGCAGTGGCTACCCAGGGCAAAAAGAAAGAGTTGTTTTAAAATCGTACCAGCTGCAGTGGCTACCCAGGGCAAAAAGAAAGAGTTGTTTTAAAATCGTACCAGCTGCAGTGGCTACCCAGGGCAAAAAGAAAGAGTTGTTTTAAAATCGTACCAGCTGCAGTGGCTACCCAGGGCAAAAAGAAAGAGTTGTTTTAAAATCGTACCAGCTGCAGTGGCTACCCAGGGCAAAAAGAAAGAGTTGTTTTAAAATCGTACCAGCTGCAGTGGCTACCCAGGGCAAAAAGAAAGAGTTGTTTTAAAATCGTACCAGCTGCAGTGGCTACCCAGGGCAAAAAGAAAGAGTTGTTTTAAAATCGTACCAGCTGCAGTGGCTACCCAGGGCAAAAAGAAAGAGTTGTTTTAAAATCGTACCAGCTGCAGTGGCTACCCAGGGCAAAAAGAAAGAGTTGTTTTAAAATCGTACCAGCTGCAGTGGCTACCCAGGGCAAAAAGAAAGAGTTGTTTTAAAATCGTACCAGCTGCAGTGGCTACCCAGGGCAAAAAGAAAGAGTTGTTTTAAAATCGTACCAGCTGCAGTGGCTACCCAGGGCAAAAAGAAAGAGTTGTTTTAAAATCGTACCAGCTGCAGTGGCTACCCAGGGCAAAAAGAAAGAGTTGTTTTAAAATCGTACCAGCTGCAGTGGCTACCCAGGGCAAAAAGAAAGAGTTGTTTTAAAATCGTACCAGCTGCAGTGGCTACCCAGGGCAAAAAGAAAGAGTTGTTTTAAAATCGTACCAGCTGCAGTGGCTACCCAGGGCAAAAAGAAAG